CTTGGTACCTACTCTTTAGCTTAACACTTTTCTGTCTACTTTGCCAACTCCCTTGGTTTCAACTACCACTCATTCCTTTAACATCTCCTGAGTTCCTATTACATACTAAGCATAATGTAAGTAGTAAAATATCAAATGTTTGCTTTAGGAGCTTACTAATTTCTATGTGTATATTTGAAGTAAGGCTGGATCATACCCATAATCTCAGTACAACTGTGTTATCTCCCTGTACTCAAAAATTATCAGCTGGGAGTGGTGGCACTGGCCTGTAATCCCAGCACTTGGGAGGCTGAGGCAGGAGTTCCATGAGTTCAAAGCCAGCCTAAACTACATAGTGAGTTCAAGGCCACCCTGAACTACAGAGTGAGACTCTGTCTCAAAAAACCCCCAAAAAACAAAAACAAAAAAGAAAGCAAGCAAGCAGACTAATTTACAAAGACCACACTAAAAAATGAATCCCCGTGCTACATATATACAATAGATTATGCAGTCATAAAAACGAATGAAATCCTGTCATTTGCAAACACATGAATCACTATGTTAAATGAAATTAAGGCAGGCACAGAAAGATAAGTACCACATGATCTCATTTATATGTGAAATCTAAAAAAGTTGATCTCATTTCAGAAGTTGAGTAAAATGGTGGTTACTAGATGCAATAGAGAAAGGTTTATCAATGGGTGCTAAATTACAGTTAAACTAGGAGTAAGAAGTTCTGGTGTGCTACTGAACAGGAGGGTGACTACAGATAACAATAATTACTGTATATTTCAAACAGCTAGAAGAAAGGATTTTGACAGTTTTCACCACAAAGAAATTATAAACGTTGGAGGAGACAGATATGTTTAGCCTGATTTAAACATTACATGGTACTCCATTAATATGTAGTTTTTATATTTTTATGTATCAGTTAAGAAATAATTTTTTTAAATGAACCCCTACCTAGCACAAGGATTATCCCAATGTTTTAAGACCCTACAGTAAATATGTATTACTTTTATAGTCAGAGGTAAAAATTATTTGGAAATAAAGGGAAAAATAGCTGCTTCAAACTTCATAATAATTTCAAAAATAGTCTTAAAGACAGAAACTTAATTTTCTGAGATGAAGTGGACCAAGAGCAAAGGATTTTCCTAATCATCACGAGTTGCAATTGTTATTATAGAAGCCTTAGACACTGTTCAGAAGGCAACTGACTTTTAAAACCTCAAACCATTTATTTAATCAAGCAAGGCACACCCACTCAGCATGCAAACAGGGCCTCTACCCATCCCTCTCGATTGCCTATTCTACCAATAAACACTACTTCTTTCTTTCAAAAACTGAATCCAATTGAATCAACCAATTAGATCTCTTGCCCAGGGCATGACAAGCTTCTAGGGCACTTGGGCCCACCCTAAAAAGTCTGCCCTCCCTGAACATCCAAGTTTTAAAATACTATTCTAAGAACAGTGTTATTTATATATTTCCCAAAAATTCTTATTAAAGAGAATTCCTGAGTAAGACAAATGATTGGAATTTTTCAGATCTAGCTAATAAAAATCAAATGTTCTTTCTAGCAAAGGCATCTGAAACAAAAATCTTATCCAAAAACTTGAAAGCACTGTAGTTGCAACATTATTTCTGCAAAGCCTTGAGGCATTCAAGATGTCTCATCAAGCCCTGTCAAACCTGAAGTGGTATACAGTGGTCATTCTGGATACTCCTCCTATTCCTGTCTCATAAACAAACTTCTCCTTTCCCCCAGCTACCATATTAAATCCCCAGTTACTGTTCCCTTCATTGGAAACAAAAGCTAGTATCTATTTAGCAAACTACCCTTCCTTATTCATTTGCCCCCTTTTAAGTGCAATTAACATTTTATTCTACTCTCTCTTCTTATTTAACCTAACTTATGCTCTAATGCCACCTTGAGACAGGTTCTGCTTATTTTGGCATCTAGAAGACCCTTTTCTAATATCTCATTAAAATTGCTTGCAAGGGAAAGAAAGGCTTGAAATTGTCTTAAATATATAACAAAATGGGAGATCTTCAGAAACAGGCAAACTATTTTATTTTGTGTACAGTCAAAATGTGTCATTTTAAAAAATCAAATATTAAATACAGAAAGAAATTCTTGATAATTAAAATTTCTGAATAATGCAACTCACTGTTGAAAAACTTCCTGCAAAACCTCTGAAAGTCTTTTTTTTTTTTTTTTGGTACCGGGGATCGAATTCGAGTCCTTGCACTTGCACAGCAGTGGCGAAACCACTGGGCTAAATCCCCAGCCCCACCTCTGAAAGTCTTTACAAAGAGGACAAATTCCTCTGTCAAGATTGGTTTTAATAAAGTCCTACAAAGTCAGAAGCCCCTAAAGGTTCTTTTCAATTCTAACTCTGCCAAAGTTGTCTAAGGCTAATTGTCACCCTTTACCTCAAAGACAAGCTACCCTGCTTCCACTCATCTGAATGGTAGACAGCAAAAACACTACTTCCTTGTTCAACTGCTACTCTTGTGAAAGGAGTCTACTGCAACTAACTACTGAACAGTCTATGACTTAACTTCTTTCTACCAAAACATCTATTTCATCAACTCGAATCCAAGAATTGCTCTTTTAGTACATGCATTCAACGCTTTAAACTCAGAAACACTCTGGAAAGTGTGTGAGAACCTTATAAATTCTAACTTCTCTCCTGTATATTGAGACTGAGGCTGAAATATGTGAGAAATGAATCTACATCTCGACCATGTACACTCTGTGTTTTAATAAAAGTGGGACACACAGCTGCATGCCTAACACCTTGTGTGTATTCTGAGGCATAATTGGCAACACTCCCCACCCCTGTGAGGAAAGGAGTGGTAGAGATTGAAGCACTGGCACATCTCTTTTAACAAAACAACTTTTTAAAAAGATACTCTTGCTGTCATTAAGTTACCAAAATCTCTCTTTTGCATGAGGAAAAAACAAAACCAAAACTCAATGTTCCTCTATATGAATGTCCAGACCTACAATCTGAAGTCTTTGTTTTAAAAAGCCTACTGAAAAACCACTTTCAAGAAGAGATGCCTTACAGCATTCCACTAGACCATTCTGTCAAATGCCACCCATGTGCCCTGAAATTGTTCACCAAATTATGCTCCAAAAAATCAGCCAGATATTATAGTCACAGATTTTTAAATTTTATTTTAATAATACGACATTTTCTCATCTTATTAGTTGGCAAGCTCTGAAGAAACAGCATACCTACAACTGCTAAACTGACGGACTATAGGAGGAACTTGATTTACTACTTAATCAGAATATAAATCCTACTGACTGAAAAATACACTCAAACACAAAGCATCTCTAACATGTGACCAGCTTTCTCTTGACTTCCTTTTTCCATCTAAAAACCATACTTTACTCATTTACCTATAATCATTAAATTTCCCTGTTATATTCTATACCACAATTTTATCTTACTAGCCATTTACATTGCTAGGAAAACAAGATTTCCCCCATTTATAACGAGCTGATTATTATATGTCCTCTCTCACAATTACGTCTTAAAAAGTGAAAACTAAGCTTTTGAGAATCTATGCAATTGTTTGCCTTATTTGTATAATCTTATACATTGAGGGGAGATGAAGACTCATGTAACAACTCTCATAGTCTAATACCTCACTGTGACCTGGAGAAATGTTTTACTTTGTGTTTCTTATCAAACTAGCAGGCGTATCCATCAAAGTTACTGGTGTGGAGAGGAGGTTGCCAGATACCTATATTAAAGTCAACTTATGATCATTGCTCTGGGCAAGGTTGGTGGTGCCTGCAATCCCAGCCCTTAGGGAGCCTGGGGCAGGAGGACTGTAAGTGTAAGTACTTGCCTGGGCAATTTAGCAAGACCCTAACTCAACAGGTCTGGGGATGTAGCTCTGTGACAGAGTTCAATCCACCGTACTAACAACAACAAAAAAATCACCGTTTTATCAAACTGTAACGGTTACACTCCTACTAAAGAGAACAGGCAGTTTAAAAAAAAAAAGGTTTTCCTTAATATCTGAACAAGACTTAGAAGTATTAAAGTCAATTATCACACAGTCTCTTCCAGCAACATTGATCTCGCATTTTTTAAGCAGCTTATCTTTTAAAACGCACAGCCAATCCAGAGATTTGAAAAGTTGATAATAAGTGTATCTTCAATCAGAACTATTGAAATACTTTAGAACTGCCTAAACTTGGCTGATGATTCAGTCTTGGTCAACTGGTATAGGAACTCAACACAAGTTAAACAATCCCGTGTGACAGCACTCCTGCTCAAAGGAACCATCTACTTTTGGGGGGGGGGGGGGCGGCAGGGTGCTGGGAGGATTTCACCGCGAGCACAGCAAGGGAATAATGCTTTCTTTCTGAACTCGGGTCCTTGCGCTTGTGCAGCAGGCAGTGAAACCACTGAGCTAAATCCCCGGCCCAATAATGCTTTCTTTTGAAGCACCAGCCGGCTCCACTGCCGGATCGACGGTACAAGGTCTTGCTTGGGGAGGGAGTCCAGAAGGTGGCAGGAAGAGACTAGGTGTGTTTCCACCTGGCACCATCTCTTTACTTTCTTAGCTTCTCAAGGACCCCAAGGGTGGTTTTCCTTGAACCGCTGCAGTTTAAGAGATAGCAACTACCTCGAAGGTTCGAGGAGGAACCCTCGGGAGGGAAACCAGGAGCTCCTGGGTGGCGCCTGCTGCGGTCCGAGAGGTCATCAATTGCTTCCCGGAGGGCGGCCCGCACTTCTGGCGAGAGCAGGCAGAAGACAGAACCCCGGGCTCGAAGCAGAGAACACGCCTCCCGGACGAGGGGAGACGGCCTAGGGGCGCGCGGAGGGGAGCCCCGCGCCGCCCTGGAGACTCTGACCCCGGGCGCTCAGCGCCCACACCCCGCCGCCAGCACCCGGTCACCGCAGCTCCGCCCCGGCCCGGCCTGGCCCCAGCTCGCGGGGTCCGGCCCACCTCCCCCATCCCGGCGCGGCTGCTCGGTCCCGTCGTCGTACCTGGCCGGCGGCGGCGGTGAGAGCTGCGCCGCTCCTCACGTACCCGTTCCGCAATTCCCCGTTCGCCACGAAGCCGTTCGCCCGCATGGGGCGGCGGCAGGAGCAGCCTGCAGGCCCGGGCCGCATCGTCCAGCAGCACTAGGCGCAAGGAAGCCTCTGGAAGGAGAAGCGGCGGCGGTGGCGGCACTCCGATTCCACTCCGATCCCGCTCCGCACCGCACCCACTTCCTCGAAACCGGAAATGGTTGCAGCGCTGCCGCCAATTCCTGGTCAGGCAGTCACATGGGGGCGGGGCCCACCCTGAGAGGATGCATCTCGCCCAAGGTCCGGAGGCTGAGGGGAACCCCGGGCGGGGCCCGGCAGGGAGGGGGCGGGTCCGAGAGCAAGTGGCCAATCCGGGGGAGGAAAAGGCGGGCCCCTGATGCTGCCTGGCCAATCATGAACCACAGTAGAGCGGCTCGCCGATATAGAAGGGGCTTCCCTGGCGCGACTTGTGGGTCTGGCGCCTGATTGGAGACCTGAGCTAGGTCGCGCATGGATTAGCTGCTTACTGGTGCAGACTTAGAAGTCCAGGAAGAAGTAGCCAATTACAGAGTGAAAAAAGAAACGAGCCGAACCTAAGTATCTAGAGCGAGTTCCGTGGTTCTCCAACCCGGTTCTCCTGGATAGAGGGTGTCCATTAACCTTGCCTACCGGTAAGTTCCTAGGTTGAATCCAAGCCCAACACAGGCAGCTCCTTTATTTCATTAGCAAAATCCTCTGTGAGTGTTACTAGCATAGCCGTTTTTTGGACTCACCATTCTTCAGTATGCATCACACATTAACACTTTGTTTTTGCTGCTGCTGCTGCTGCTTGGGTGATTGAACCCAGGGACTCGAGCATGCCACTCGTGCTCCCTATAACCGAGCTACCCTCCAGCCTAACCCATTTCCTAAATACTCAGACGCCTCTTCTTGTGCCCTTCACTTTTGTCCCTGTCAGAGTTTTCCATACAATCTCCTTTGAAGTCTTTCCGAGAAAGTCAAGAAACCAGTCTAGTTCCAATTCTACTAATAAATGGAAGTTAAAAATAAGTATTTAACCACTTGGGGAAACAAATTTTGCTAAATGGAGTCAATACTTCTGCTTCATAGACTCACTGCAATAATGATATTGGTTAAGCAACTATCAGAATACTTGACCCAGATTAGGAACATAATAAATGTTATTCTCTTAGCCTTTTAGTACTATTTTCCCAGAGTATTTAGAAAGAAAGAAAATTGATCTACGTTACAGCAAGAGACTTTCCGTTACCTATAAAGAATTTAGTGTCATAGTTATGAGTATGAACGCGAGTCAGTCTGGGTTTAAATCCTAGCTGTACCCTTACTAGCTGAGTGACTTTTATGTCTCTTCCTCTGATCCATGGGAATAATAATAGCTGTCATGAGGATCTAATGTACTTTGCATAGGACCTACATAGCAATTAGTAAGCATTCATTAAATGTTGGTTATTATTAATTGCTGAATGTGCCTATGAGAGTGGCTGCATTTTCCCCTACCCCCCGGAACTTGAAAACATATTGACTAGGCATCAGTATTGCCCGATTCAGGAGCTGAGCAATCTAGCAGCAGGTTGGGAGGGCACAGATCCCTTTGAGGGGAAGAGGGCAGTACTGGAGGTTGAACCTAGGTCCTCTGCACTGAGCTACAGCTCTAGCCCTTTTTATTTTTTATTTTGAGACAGAGTCTTGCTAATTTGTGCAGGCTGGGCTGGAGTTTGTGATCCTCTTGCCTCAGCCTTCCAGAGTGATGGGATTACAGCCATGTACCACCACACCCAGCTCATATATCCTCTTTGAGTCAACAAACATGATCCCCAGATGAACATAAATCTATGGATGAGGCTAAAAGAGAAGCTTGTGTTCCATGGAGCTTACATGGAGAGACAAGATATAAACATATATAAAAGCAATCAATAAAAGGGCAACCCAAGGCTGGAGAGATTAGGCAACAGATGAGATGTGAGAGGCTGGGTGACAGTTTCAATTTAAATTTCCATATGGGAACTTTTCAGACAGGAATCTGGTTGGCAGTAGAGCTAAGGAATTTAATAAAAGATGGTTGAATGAATGTAGAGAAGCTTGGAAGCTGTGGAATGAGCTGGGTCTTGGAGGAGCAGGATTTAGCTGAAACTGAGAAGGGAGGGAGGGAACCTGCAGAATTGGTGCAGGGGCTGGAAATTGCAAAGCCTGAACTGGATCCTGGGAAGAGCAAAGATGCCTGGCTAGAATCCAGTTAGCCAGTTCCTTCCTTCTGTGGTCAAGATACTGGCTCCTTATCTTGTTCTGCCACTTACTCAGCTTTTGTCCTGAATGATTCATGCAAACTCAGCCCTGGTTTCCTCATTTCTTATGAAATTAATACCTGAACTACTTACCTCGTAAGGCTATTATGAGCATCAATGATATAATATTCAAATGATCAGCTTCATATACCATTGCTAAGTCACAAAAAGGATGCCTCAGTAGGCAGTAGGAAACACCCCAGTTTCCATATAAACAGGAGATAGCCTCTCCCAGATGTTTAAACTGCTTCCTCTTCATGATTTTACAGAGTTCATATGCAAAGTTCTATGTTTAGGTATCAGGACTACAACTCTCCTTTCATTTTTTTTTTTTTTTTTTTTTTCCTTTGGTACCAGGGATCGAACTGGGGACCTTGTGCTTGCCAGGCAGGCAGCAGCACCACTGAGCTAAATCCCTGGCCCCCAACTCCTTTCTTCAAGATTGCTCACATTACTTCAACTACAAGTCTTTCTTGAACTTCAGCCTCCCTACACAATTAGTCACTTTCTCCTCTGTGAACTTTATATGTATTTGTGTATGTGACACATTGCTTTGGAATTCTTTGACAGGGGAGTGCTTAGTGCAAGAGGTTTACTGTCAAGTATACCATGATTGAAGGCCCAGTTCCAGCACTTACAAAACTTGTGACTTGGCCAAAGCTGTCTTAACTTCTCTGTGACTCAATTCCTTCATCTGTAAAATAGGACAAGAAAGCATTTAGTAACCAGGCTTGTTACATATTTAATGACTGTTGGCAATTATTAAATTCAAAATTATATATTGAATGAATGAATAATTGAATACATTTATACCTTCAATGAGAGAGCAAGCTCCTAGGGTTCAGGGGATTATCTAATCCATCTTTGCGTTCCCAACACCTAGGATATGCCTGGCACATAGCAAATGCTCAGTAAATATTTGATGGATGAATAAATGGGTGAATGAATGAAATTCTAGCCCTATTTCTAAGGAGTCTACAAGGAGACTATGTTAATTAATGTTTTGGTTATAGATAACATAGGCCAATATAAGAAAATTTATGAAAAGTAAATTTATTGGAACTTTCCTGAAGTTAGAGAATTGTTAGGACTGAAGCAACAGAAAATTGCAGACCTTCAGCTCAATGTGGTGGTGCACATCTGTAATCTACACTTGGGAGGCTGAGGCAGGACAATTACCATAAGCTCAAGGCCAGTCTGAGCTATGTAGTAAGACCCTGTTCAAAAAACCAAAACCAGAAAAAATTACTACAGACCTTCCCCCTACCATGAAGCTATTTCTGTTGCTTAGCATTTAGCACTCTGTGACTTTAGCATTCCCTAGATCAAACTTCTAAACTTTCAGGAAAGAGAAATTTGATTGTCCCAGCTTAGGATGAGATAGCTAAGTTGGACCAATCAACAATGGCCACAGCACAAGGTGACTCCAGTCCAGAGAGGGGAGGAACAACTCCATCAGTGTCCATTACAAAAAGATGGAACCTAGGAATAAAAAGGCCAAGTAACAATAGTTTGGAATGTGTATTAAAGGAGGAGGAGCCTTCCAATACAGCAAAGGGAAACGCTGCCTCAGAAGAGAAACCAGGCTGTTTAGCTGGAACAGCAGCACGCCTGCACTACCAGATAGGATCTTGGTTGCACATAGTTCAAGTCATTGAGTCCACACTGGCTGGCTGACACAGGTGGGAATTCATTGGAAGGTTAGTAGCAGTTTAGCAACTAAATGAGGGACAGAGGACCAGGCTCATAAAAAATTAGGAACCCAAGGAGTGCTGAGGGCTAAGTACCAAACACCCACAGCAAAGGTTTGTGACAAGAACTCAGGAACTCTGGTGAGCGTGACGTTGCCAACACAAATGACTTCTATCCTTGGGTAACCTGGTGAAGAATCAACCTGTAGAGAACATCTGATTCTGATTGAGTAACATCCCCCCAGCCCATACAGGCACAAAGAGAAGAAAAGTGGAGTCCACTAAAAAATGACTGGGATTAAATAAACAAGTTAAACAAGTTGTAGGATAAAGTATTAATATATAAAAACCAAGTGCATTTTCCCACACTAACAAACATTTAAAAATGAAATTAGGGAATGCTGGCTTTCAGAGAAAGTGTCTTGATTGTCCTCCATGTTGGCTCCTTGCAGGTCCTGTCTAACTGCCTACAATATATCTAATTAAGTTACCTATCTACAATACCAGCACGGCCTCTCAAGACCCAGATGCAGAAGTTCTCGCAGGTTTCCTTGAGATTTGGACAACACAAAAGGAGAGGGAAAGTGATACAAATTGGGATATTGCAAGACGGTTACTGCCAGAGTTGATCCAAGAAGCGCACAAGAGGAGACCTCCGGGCTGGCGTACCACCCCACCAACACACAGGAGGTGAGCTGCATGGGTGCCAGCAGCACCCCCCCACACATCGAAATGAGAAGACACATAAACAAGTCTCAAAACCAGCCTTGCAGATCACCTACAGCAACTCCAAAGGGAAACGAGATGGAACACTCTGATACTCAACCACCTGGACTCCCTGAACTAGCAACAAAAGAGGATCTGGAAAGAATGAAATCAGAAATAACTTCTCAGATAACAGCAGAGATTGTGCTCATAGTGCAAGACATGATTAATAAATCTAGAGAGGAGCTCAGGAACATGATGGAATTTCAACATAGGAAACAAAGGGAATCCATAAAACAGATGCAAACAGATTTCCAGGACATTAAAAACTCCATTGAAAGTCTATGCCACAGAATGAGCCAATGTGAGGACAGAATTTCAGATATAGAAGATAAGATTGCAATTAATGACCAGGAAAAGAAAAATTGCTTTAAAATTGTAAGGGAACATGAGAAATCAATCCGGCAGCTGCTAGATGGTGCAAAGAAGAATAACAGTAAGACTGATTGGAGTCAATGAAGAAACAGGAGAGAGAGCAGATGACATAAAAAAAACTCTT